CTCTTTGACATGAGATTTGTGTACACGATATTTATAGCCCTCATTTTTCTATATTTATTTGCCCAGAAGGTAGATTAAGGACTTTAATTCTATAAGTCACCCTTTAGGATGAACCTTGACGATAAATTCTTGACCAAAAATGGTACACCTATCCCATCAATCCCTGAAGGATTGCTATGACGTTACTATGAGTCAAGTTCTTTTTACCCAAGCCTAACTCAATGCATATCACAAATCAATCCCTCAAAGATTGCTATACCCCCTTTTTCACATACTACGTGGTTTCAGAAGTAACATTTCCCTATCTGTATTATTTTTAGTGCGCATTCTATTTTTATATCACCGCCACAACGTACCTCTAAAAGAGCTATCAAAGAAACCTTCGTCTATTGATTAAATACCAAAAGCCCATGATAGGGTATCAATACCTATAATTGGGTACGTTGTCTGTATTCCTAATGAATATTGTTTCTCGGCATTAGGGGGAGATAATATACTAGCTTTTAATGGAATGCCAAGAAATTTCATAAAATGAAAAGATCTTCATTATCTAAATCCACACACTAGTTAGTCTGAACTAGAAGTTCAAAAGATAAATCTATTTGCGATATTAGCAAATAATCTGTCATATACATCTATTGATCATACCGATCATAAATGAGTGACTAGGTCCCATGTACCTTCCCCAACATGGACCAAATATATCTACCGATACTCCTTGACGTCAGAAGTGTAGGAGATCTATCAATGAAAAAGATATGAATCCTAATACTAGATCTAGTAAAGAAACATTGTCACTCTTGAAATAAGCTTGAACAATTAAGTCCTGCAGACGTTCGTCCAGATGATGAAAAATCCTAGTAAAATTTATAGGTGCACCAAACAAACATAATACTAGGGATGCGGAACGACCAGATAAAAATATCTTTGGGAAATGTCTAGAATCTGGTTATTTTAGAAAATTGTCATTAACTTTTACAAATATGGGAGACATTTATAAAAACATTATAGTTGTCGACAACACGATTGCCATTACAAATTGCTCGTTATATGATAATCTGGATCCAGAGTTAGGCTCGACTCGCTAAATTGAAAAATTCTCTTTATAACATTACACCGTTGAGCGTTAACCCTGAAGGTTACAAATGGGTGTGTGCATGAAAGAGAAGTAAGAATAACGAGGTGATAAGATATTAAGTGAGTTTGTAGCCTATGGGTTCACGCAGAGACCCTTAATTGATTTTAATCAAATATACTCTCCCACGATAAATGGCATTAAGTTCCGCTACGTAATACAATTAGCAGAATAATAAATTTAGATATGCAGTTAAATTTATTTTGAGAAATCCTGGATGGATTTATAATTCTCGAAATGAGGATTTATTTAAGTATTATTATGTGCCATTATTTACTCTTTAAAGAGTTGCAAATGGGGTTATTATCCTCATATAGAAGGAATAATGTGTACCATTATGTGCTCAATAAAGAATTGATAATAGACTTATTATCTCAGTCAAGATTGATGGTGTAAACATCAATGAAATATATATAAAGAGCTTGATAATGTCAGTTCATGTTTAAAGACTGAGACTTTTGAAATAAAAAGCTTGTGAAAGCTATAAGTATTATCTCGACTTGAAAATCGAATTTTTCTTTGAAGATATTTTTATATATACACCAGTCAGCCTACATCTAAAAATGCTTTTTTCACATGTCTATATGTAAGTGTAATGTTTTTATCAAACTAAAGGTTGCCTAATAATCTCTTGAAGCAGATAAGGAACCTTTTGGACTCGAAGTCCCTTACTTCATTATCGTTGGAGCACCATTTTAGAACCAGAAGTTCCATAATCGCAACAGACATGATATTTGCGATGAAATTGCTAGCAAAATCTAGAGTTCCCCCTACAAATGAAGTACTTGAATAATGATTAACATATCATCTGGTATCTTCGAGATACAAAGACATGACATTTATGTAAGAAACCATGATACGGTTTTAATAGGCTACTTGGGTACTGGCTATTTTGTTTGATCCCTGCAATGCCAAGTCCAAACTGGTTATACAATGAATTTTTCTAAATGTTCAAAATGATGACAATAACACTTGTGTTGCACAAATGCTATATGAGCTCTAGAAGAGCGCCATAAGATTATTAGATATTTACTCTAGTGACAGTCCAGAAGATTTGTCCAATTCATTTCTTCAAATTTTGAAATATATGTAGGACTTGAAGATTGTTATCTTCAGGGAGAGACGGGAAGTACATTTACTCGAATCAATCCGGAAGATTGAACGTATAATCCTCAAGATTAAGTCATAAAAGACTAACAATTGCGCACTATTTGCAACACATCATGTACTCTTTTCCTCACTAGTTTTCTCCAATTAGGTTTTTCTAGTGTGGTTTTTAACGAGGCATGAGTATGATATAATGATGTAAATGGGGAAATGTTGCAAAACAATTGCTTAAATGGACAAACCCCAAAATCCTGAAGATTATGCAGTTTGCGCCCTGAAGGCTTATGGTTGTACTCGATCTTTTTCCCTTAACTAAGTTTTTCCCACAGGGTTTTCTTAAGTTAAGGTTTTTAATGAGGTGACCAATACAATATATGTTTTTACATATATCATGTACTCTTTTCTTCAACTAGGTTTTTTCCACGTGGTTTCCTAGTGAAGTTTTTAATGAGGCATGGATATATTTTTTTATTATATTATTTCATTGTCTAGGTTTTTCCCACAGGGTTTTCCTAGCAAGTTTTTAACGGGGCAAAGTTGTGGACAAATAATGTCCAATGGGGAGTGTTATAAATTCTTATTTATGGACATTATTATGACATTGATTACTTGATTTGTAACTATTGTAACAGTCAATTTGTATAGATTATATATATGATGTATAAGGATATAATGAGATAGTTGAATGACTGATCCTTTTTCCAGATGAATAAGATGATGCTCTGCCTTCTCTATTTTCCTTTGTGTATTCATCTTCTTGTTGATCGCTGCTTTTTCGATGATTCCTTAACAAATAAAACAACAAAGAAAGTGGCAAAGGTTACGTTGTGTACACTGTTGACGTCAGACAAAAATAAGGATGTTTTTCCGGAAAAGAAACAACAAAGAAAGTAGCAAAGGTTGTCTGCGGCATTGATGTCGACGAAAATAAAGTTGTTTTTTAAGGATTGTAGTGACAGTGGAAAAAATTACCCTAAGAATTTACTTGATAATATAAATTAAATCATGAGATATACATTATGGATTCACAAGTTACTAAAAAAATTTTATAAACATGTACTTACAACAAGTTCAATTCTCATGTCTCGATAAAAACCAATGATGGTTTTTCTACGGATGGGGTCGAGGTTAGGTTAACCCCAACCACCGAAAATTAAAGTTAAAAATTATGTTAAAAACTAAAAATAAAGGCCTGAACACCCCCTGTTCCGAGGGTATTTATGCATGCCTAATTTACCAATAATCAAGAAATGAATTCCCCTAATCAGCTGCTTAAATTTAGGAAAGTAGCTCGCATAAGCAGCTCAGTTGGTCACAAGTTTAGAAAGAAAGACAATGAATTGAGTCTTATCAACGGTAGTGTAGGAGCAACTTCTCAAAGTGGGGGCTCCTTGTGCGGAGTAAGCAAAGGTCTAACCTCTGTGTTCAGCTGAGTTACCATGATTTAATCGGCAAATTATATTGTGGACCCAGGTTATATTCACAATTTTTGAACTCTATATTTACAATTTGATAACTCTATATTCACAATTACAGAACTGAATATTCACTCGCTGAGTTATTTTCAATAATTTTTTTAAAAAAGATCATTGACTGTGGAAACGGTGCCACTAACGGCACCGTTATTTTCACATACACAAGCTGCGTCGTTTTGGACCTAGGTCTACCTTGCTAGGTGGACACGGGTCCATGACATAACTATTGAATTTAATCCTCCCAAATACTCTGTCAGGCCGGGACGTGAGACACTCTTGGGGTTGAGGGTTGAGGATTCAAGCTTTAGGAAGAAAATCTAGGGAAGTAATCCCACCATTAAAGCCTCACATAAAGTAATCTCAACTCTACACCAAACCCTAATAAATTTTGGTGGTTCTCCCAAGCATTATTGCATTAAGTAGCCACAATTCTTCAGTACTGTATCCTTTCAATCAGGCAATTTACAAAATTCTATATCCTAAGTAATAACAAAAATAAAGATTTTTTCACGGGTCAAACTGAAAGGTATTACTCAATGCCATATTAAATTAAAGAGCCTCGTTGTAACTTCACGAACCATGCACCCTTATTGTCACCTAGTACATAAAAGTTGTACATCTAGTGAGACAGGGTGCAGTATCATAGTACTTTCATTTTTCTTTTTAACATTAGTTCCTCAGAGTTCCCATGTCGAAGGGCCCCAAGAGGAATTCAATGTTGGGAGCTAGAGACAGATGAAGCAAATTTAATATATTAAACTGCTTCCTCAGGCAATGAATTAGATTGGTTATGTGTTGCTTTTATCCCACATTTCGAATAAAATCTTAAAATATTCTTTGGTTTACAAGAAAACTAGCCGCCGCTATCCTGATATGTGTTTTAGGTCAAGTATGCTTTGTAACCTTAGTTGACAAAGAATCACGATGAGCCAAGACGGTCCATAGGCTCAGAACCTTGTGGTTACTAATCCTCGCCACTACTCGAAGGTGTGCACTAAAGAAATCTCCGCCTTGTGACTTTAGCCGATAAGGAAAGCAAATAGGTCGCTCCCACTGAAAATCAAACTTATAATCTTATGGTTATCATGCCAATTAATAATTGACTAACTTGACAGAAATTATTGCCTCAAATAAAATATTCTTGTACGTGATAAAAGTTATTATACATCTTTTACTTATTACAAGAAAAGACATGATTTCATTAAATATAAGATGTGAACAAGTTGTACCTATAACTCTCCAGAATTACTATAAATAACTCCCCAACCCATTCTCCATTTTCAATCATCTAAGCTTTATTTTCTGCTTCAAGTAGGCTTTCATCAACATCAATGGAGTTTCAACTCCTTGGAATCTTCTCACTTCTTTCTGTAAGATTTTGAGTTACTTTATTACTCTCTTCAGAGTAATTAATTGGTTGGAGAAATCAATCTGCAGATTGTATATATATATTATAATATTCATATTTGTTGTTTTCAGGTGGCTGTTGTTGCATGCCATGCAGCTTTATCACCTGAGGCTTATTGGAAATCTGTGATTCCAAACACCCCCATGCCAGGAGCAGTCAAAGATTCCTTATCTTCAGCAGGTTGTTCTTCTTTCTACCTCGATATTTTTGTACCAAATATAATCATAAGTATTTTTTGATATTGTATTAAGTAGTGTAAAGTTTAATCTTATTACTAGGTATATATAATTCAGCTTGTTGGGTGGAGACTGGTAAAGGGCCTAATCCAACACCCTGACTCTAAAAAATGTGATAGAGATTATAAGTTAAGAAAATAAAATTGTGCCTTTTCACTACAAACTATATATAGTTTTTGGCGTAGTGGTAAGCACTTGATGATATAGGTGCTGGGAGGAAGAATTGTTAGGTGGAAGCCAGTAATATGGCCAAGTCCTACACCCCGACTCTCGAAAACAGCTTTTGGCATAATGGTTAGTCATCGTAAGCGCTTGATCCTAACAAAGCAATATTATATAGACTATTGACTTAGTTACGAGTTGACTCACGGAAGCAGACACGTACCCTTGGTTTGAGTTGATTAGACACTTAAATTAAAATTCTGGGATGCTACTGCTCTATTACAATATAGCATCACCTACTGAAACACAAAAAATCAATAACACCTCCATTGAAGCTCGAACTCACAACCTTCCAAATAAAAATCTAACCCGAGTACCATTAGACCACATAGTCCTAGTAAAGAAAATAAAAAATCTATACATAGTTGTTTGTATATTGTGCAAAAGAATATTGTAATGAAGTAAATAAAAGAAAATGTTATAAAAAAAAATGTTATATATGCAGAGTGGGTAGAGAACAAAGGGACGGCAGTGGGCGTTGGGAAGGGCGGCGTCATCGTCGGCGGCAACTACCACGGCAAGCCAGTCTTCGTCGGCGTCACGCCCAGCCCGAATCCCTTCAACTACATCTACGCCGCGACGGAGGATCAGCTCCACGACGACCCCAACGTGGCCCTTTTCTTCAAGAGGAATGACTTGCAGCAAGGCAACCAGATGAAATTGCACTTCACGAAAACCAGTAACGCCGCCACTCTCCTCCCGCGCTCGGCCGCCGGAAAAATCCCATTTTCCGCCGTGAAACTCCCCCAGATTCTCTCCCGTTTCTCTCTGTCCCCGGACTCGAAAGAAGCCCGGGTCATGAAGAAAACCCTCAAAGAATGCGAGGCGCCGGCAATGATGGGAGAAGAGAAGCTCTGCGCTACTTCAATGGAATCAATGGTGGATTTCAGCGTATCTCAGCTGGGCAAAAACGTTAAGGTAAGCACTAAGCGGTGCTCTTCCAACTCACGTCTCCATATTTTACTAGTAACACTAACACAAATATATTTTATGAGATTCAAACAAATGTTTTAAATGTTATATATATATATATATATATGTCAGCTTAAATGTAGTCATGCCTTAAAGGGCGGTCAGTAATAGTGTTATAAAACCTACAATAATGAAATGCATGCACCACTTACCCCAAAAAATGGACGTACAATACCTCTCCACATCTAATTGTGTGTTTTCGAGAACACTATGTGAGTGTGTGGTGCTTTTTGTGGTGATTCGTATAGCTAATGCTGTGTGTTTTGGTGCATTTTTTGTGTGCGTGTTTGCATACCTAATGGTGCAACTGCACACTAACCACATATTAAGGTTTGCCGTACTGGAACTTGCCCATATATATATTTCTAATCAGCTGAGAACCAACTTTAACCTCAACTTGTTAAGGATTGCACCGCAAGTACTACATGATTGTACTGCAATGACTCCCAGACATGCCTAAAGAACCTTGAGTGCAATCGTATTCAGGTACAGTGCAATAAGCACGGTGCAATCCTTCATAACTAATTGTATTTTAATTTACGTGTAGGCAATTTCAACTGAGGGCGGGAGGACAAGGGAAGTGCAGAAATACGCAATCTCAAGGTCCAAAAGCATGGGAAAAGATGGCAAAGCTGTGGTGTGCCACAAGCAGAGCTATCCCTACGCAGTTTTCTACTGCCACAAGACACAAAGCACAGAGGTGTACGAGGTTTCTCTGGTCGGAGCCGACGGCGCAAAGGTTAAAGCTGTAGCGGTTTGCCACAAGGATACTTCTGCCTGGAACCCTAACCACTTGGCCTTCCAAGTGCTTAAGGTTAAACCTGGAACTGTCCCTGTCTGCCATTTCCTCCCAGAGGACCACGTCGTCTGGGTTAATTAATTTCTTTCTTTATTTCTACCATGAAAACAAAAAATGTCATCATTTCTTTTCAGTATTGTAAAAGTTCCTTATAAGTATATATGGTCTTTAATATTTATGATGTGTAATAATATGAATATTGTATCCATATGGAAGTGGTAATCATCCTATTGTTAAGGTGGACCATGGTCCTAAATTGTGTATTTTTAATATTGGAATTATGAACATCTAAAATATAAAATTGTGTTTTTAAGTTTTAAGAATTTATGAATACAATAGAGGGTCATCAATAAGTTGTGAATTTTGAAAAGATAAAAATTGTAACCATTTAATATGTAAATTGTGTATTTTTGGATTCGAGTTCATCTTGTAATGTGGACCGGGTCTACAGAATAATTTGGTCATCTATATAGGCCAATTGGGCATATTTGTGATTTATAAGTGTATAATTGTCGGGATAACCCCAACCGAGTTAGTCAGGTAGGTTTCAAGTTCAACTCTCTTTATGAGTGTCTATTGACCTTCTCGGTTTGATCGCGTCCAATCAATTATGAACAATTTAAAATGATTTACCTCATTGTGATTATTTGTTAACTATGATCACATTGTTAATTTCATCCAGAATGCATCTTCGATTAGTGATTACGGACTTTCTCGTAAATCAAAGTCTGCAATATAATACTCTTCCTTTCGCTCTCCAACAAGTCCTTGATGAGAGAGATAGGATTGACATCCGTGGGTTGAGAAAGATAGGGTGTTCCTTTCATATTTACAAAAATTAAAAGAAAAATTCTTAACTAATAAACACACCACAATTATTGAAAAACTGAATTATTATTGTAACCAAATATCGCGGCGTATAATAGTTGGCCTAAGCTAGTTGGTCCATTGTCTCACAGATTAGTTGACAATTAACTGTAAAGTAAGCCATGCACTAATGGCAATGGTGCATCAAACAACTAACTATAGTCTACGGTATACCAATTTGGCGAATTTCCTTCATTTCAAGTTTCTTTTTTTTTTCTTTTTCTTTTTTGGAAGCTTTTCAAGTTTGAATAACACAGAAACATTCTATCGACTACTCGCATTTATTAATTACTAGTTTTACACGCACATTGTATGAATAGGCTATTTTCCAATGTTTATATTTAAATAATTATTTTAAAGTATATCGATACAATATTATATAGGAGAAGTTAGTACATAGATAATTGAATGTCAAATTTGTTTATTTAAATATGTAATTCAAAGTATATGAATGCAATATAATATATGAGATTCATTATAATTGTCATTAAAATAAACGTTTGCAATTTTGTAAAATCGATAGTCTAAATACTTAATATAAAAACGATAGTTTAAATAAATACTACTTTTGGTTTGAATTTTTCTAAGTCTTCTTAATTCTCTTTTGAGTAGCATTGGTATTGTCTTCATCTTCACTATTTGTCATCTTCTATTTTGTTGGTAGTGTGTTATTTGCAATTGGGTTACTGGTGGTAGCATAGATGATAGCGTCATGCAATGAAATTATGGTGTAGGAAGCTGTGAATTTGTCTTATTGTGTATATGACTGGGATATTTGTTGTAGAACTCTTAATCTTTCAAGCGTCTGTTGATATTTTGCAGTGATATATAATTTTCTCCCTACATGTTTCATAAGTATTGAATAAAATATTAATATTTATTATATTTGTATATTTGTATAAAGTTCATGAGTAGTACCTCTTGTTCTATTTTCATAACTTATTGGAACAACAATAACTCTGCTGGTAGTCCGAATACTGATGCTGCAACACGTCCAGTTTCATCAACAATTTCCACACCCATTGTGCACATGTTCATTTTCAAGTTCATATTGTTAGAATTAGTAGGATTGAGTGTAGTACTTGGTTTCGTGTGTGTGTGTGTGTTTTTTTTTTTTAATTTTTTTTTTATTAAATTGATACTAACCTTGAGTTAAATTGTTTTCCACTTTGTGCATTAAAATTTTTTTAAACAGTGACTACATCCTATATACCAAGTGTTTTTGTTGTCAAGGTTGAGGTTGATTTTGCCTGTAATCTAAGCATATTGAATCTAGAAGATGAAATGAATTGTAAATTTATATTAGTTTTAATATATTTAATGAATGAACAATAAGTAATTTACATACAGGATCAATGAATGCATGGTGGCTATTTTGAATTTTTTTTTATTTTATAGGTTTGTCAAATTGATTACAGCATGTCGTAGTCTCGACAGATTTTCAAGGCATCAAGTGTATTACGGTGTTCTATTGCCATACATTGACAGTTTTAATAATGAGTTTTAAATGTAGCTACCTAAGATAATGATATATATAATTAATATTTACATATTATTATCAACATAAAAGCATACCAGTCATTTAGCTGTTTTGATATACTCGGGGTTCATTTGGTTCAACCACTATTGTTGAATGAGTTATTGTGGATAAAGAAATCTCTAGTTTAACAAATAAGATTAGATAAGGTAGTAAATATTTAAATATTTTAAATATGATGTAGTCTAAAGATACGAGATAATTTCCCGCTTCAATTTGTTGGGTTATTAAGTTATTTGAATACTCCCTTTGTATGGGTCAAAAAAAAAAAAAAAGAATACTCCCTTTGTAAGCAAATCCCCCCAACTCCCCAAGAAGTTAATATGATTGCATCAACCTATTTTTTTAATTTCATGGTATTAATAAATAATTGGTAAATAAATATATATATAACATTGTTTTGTATTATAACTTTGATATTTAATTACAAGATAGTGTAAAAAGAAGATAATGGACAATGTAGTGAATATAATTAATTGATGAATTTGAATATAAAGAATATTTACATTGAAGAAAATAAAGACAATATAACTAATGCAATTATTTCTCTTATTTAATTTATTGATAATGAATAATTTTTTTTTAGAGAAAATTACACTTTTGGTCCTATGACTATAGTGATGGTGGTAATTTCAGTTCGTGACTTTTAAAACTAACAAATTTAGTCCTTTAAGCATGCTTTTTTTCACACATTTAGTCCTTCCGGCCAATTTGCCGGTAGATTTTGGCCGGAAAAATACATTCATTTGTTTATTAATTTTTTTGGGGGGTAAAATGGTCACTTCTGTTGGGGGATAAACGGTGGCTTATTTTTCCCACCTTAATTATCATCACCGTCACGATGAGGCCGCCGGCAACCACCTGCAAATAAAATAAAAAAAAACCTTAATTACATCGACAAAATTGAAGCGGCGCTGATACTTAGCTTGCAATATATGTACATGCATAAATTCCCAGAAATAAACAAATGCATTAGAATTCTTTAAATTACCCGGCAAAAACACTCTCTTTCCACTATTCACTCCCCGAGAAGAGCTTCCATAGATCTGTAATACACCCCCACACTACCTACATTTCTTTAGTGAAGAAAAATATATATTTCGACACAGATTTGTGTCTGGGGAGGGATTAATTTAAAGATTTAGCCATTAAAGATCATTTCTTTGTCGTATATTTTGTTTAGTTCACAGTGTTAGCTTTTAGTCTCAAGATTTGGGTAGTGTGGGGAAGATATATGGCTATGGAGAAGCTTAGGATGGGACTCTGGAAAGCTGATTTGCATTGCGGCTTTGGTGGGTGTTGGGCGCCCCTGGACAGTGGCGGCTTTGAATTTGGTTGGCCAAAATCTCAGACAGAAGTGACCATTTTACCCCCCAAAAAATTAATAAACAAATGAATGTTTTTTTTCGGCCAAAATCTACCGGCAAATTGGCCGGAATGACTAAATGTGTGTAAAAAAACATGTTTAAAGGACTAAATTTGTTAGTTTTAAAAGTCACGAACTGAAATTACCACCCTCACTATAGTCATAGGACCAAAAGTGTAATTTTCTCTTTTTTTTTTTTTTATTAAAGACATTGTACACACATAATTTATTTAATTTAATAAGAGTAATAGAGTGTGGAACTTAATTATGTTAACTTTGATTGGGATGAGGTTCGAACGCATAACATGATGTACAGAAATGCATAACATGAGATGTATACACATGTTTTCTATTTTACTTATTCTCATATCTGATTTATTTAAATAATTTATGTCATATAGCCACATAATTGCATAATATAAGACATAAATTCATAAAATAAGACATACAATGTGTTTTGTGTTATACAACTACTAATCAATTTCATGTACAGAATCCTCATGCTTAATGTACAGAATTCTCATGCTTAATGTACAGAATTGCGTAAGATGATGTACATAAACACATAACACGAGATACATACACATGTTTTCTATTTTACTTATTCTTAGAGTATAAAGCCTTGGCTGATGTTGCAGCTGAAGTTACTTGGGTTGTCTCCCTGCTACGTGAGATAGGGTTACATGCTGGCCAGCCGTCCAACCTATGGTGTGATAACTTAGGAGCAACATATTTGTGTGCGAATCCGGTTTTTCACGCGTGAACAAAGCATGTTGAGATCGACTATCATTTTGTACGTGATAAAGTGGCTTCATGTGACTTCGTGGTCAATTTTGTCTTGACCAAGGACCAGCTTGCTGATATCCTCACCAAGCCTCTCACCGGGCCCAGGTTCACTGCTCTACGGGATAAGCTCAATGTTGTGGCTCACCAACCTTGTGTTTGAGGGGATGTGTGAGCATTATTATTATTATTGTTATTCTTGTATATACTATAGTTATTTAATATGTGGTGTTAGACTTAGTCTCAATGTAATAGCCTATCACTTAGGAGTGTTTAGAGGTGTAGTTTGATATACACTCTGTAATCTGTTGAGTTTGTAACTGAATTGAAATCATCTCTCTCATCATACAACTACTAATCAATTTAAGATACATAATCTTTACATTTAAGGTACAGAATTTCGTAACATAATATACAAAAACGCATAACACGATGTACAAAAACATGCTTTACAATATTTAAAAAAAAAAAAAAACTATGTAACGCAAATTAAAAAATAAATGGTCTCCGTTAAAATTAGAGTTCAAAACAAATTCGTAT